CTGGACACAGGAGGAATGCCCAGGGAAGGAGGAGGGAACTGGCCCACCTGTGGTCCTAGCTAAAAATCTCACTTGCTCATCTGAAGTTACTGCTGAGGGATAGAGCCCATTGTGCTGGTGTTTGAAGTCTGCTTGAGGGAGACAGAATCCTGTTACTTCACTGGCTGTGTTCTGTGCCTCTCCAAATTGGTCTCTCTGTGAGATCTGGAGTGGGATATTTGAATAGGACTGCATAGGACATGTCCACATTGTTAGCAGATGGAACTTGGGATTTTGCTGAGGGGCTCACACTACATGGGGGTTTTTTGTCTTTTGTAGGCTTTGGTGACAGGCTGTTGAGTGAGGTGAAGAAACTAGCTCCGAAGGACGTCAAAATAAGGGTAGGAGCAGTCTCTCTTGTATTTATCACATACTACGTGTGTTGTTCTGTGGCCTTTAAAGAATGACACTGAGAGTGCAGCTGCCATTTGCTTCAAACCAGAAACTACTTTCCTGAGACAGCCCAACAGTATTTTCTGTTGTGATGAAAACCTGTTTGGTTTCATCACTGAGAAGGTGGCTCCTCTGACAACATGAACCCTGTCCAGGATGCTAGACCACAGTGGCTGTTTTGTGGGGGGCTGCTGGGTGTCTTTCTGGTGGGAGAGATCATACCCATGTTTGTCAGCTGTTAGCTGTAGTGAAATGGGGGCAGTGTGCCAGGAGGAGCAGACTGGAGCTTGGGAAGGTATTGACTGATTCTCTCTTTCTCCCAGATATCAGCTCCTCAGGAAAGATTGTATTCCACGTGGATTGGGTATGTACTGCACAGCGACACATCTTGCTGTGGGATGAGGGCTGGTGAGGCGCAGCCTGTCGGCACTCCCACTGTTGTCCTTTCTGGTGCTGCGTGTCAGGGTTTCATGCGATGCTTGGTGTGTTACTGGAGCAGCGATCGGCAGGTCGTTTGGGAGGGGGTGGCTGGTGCCAGGGTCTGTAGTGCCAGCACGTTTGAGGCTAACAGGAGAGGAAGTGACTGTTCAGAGAGCATTTCTGTTGTAGATAACTGGGAGCCACAGCACCTTTCTAACATGAGGAAGTGTCATGCAGTAGAAACAGCTCATCTCTGCAGAGATATGATGAGAGTGCCCCTAACATTTTCCTTTAACCCATAACATGCCTGTCTCTCCCTAGTGGCTCTATTCTGGCCTCACTGGACACCTTTAAGAAAATGTGGGTTTCGAAAAAGGAGTATGAAGAAGACGGAGCTCGTGCCATCCAGCGAAAAACCTTCTAGCCCTGGGACCTGTCCTCGGTCTCCTCCGAAGACTCACTTCAGTTCTAAACTCGCTTTTCTGAGTCCGAGTGTCTGAGAGCTGCCTGTGTGTGTGTGTGTGCGCCAGCATGCCCCGATGTCACTGAGCAAAGACAACAGCAGCAGGAGGGTTGTTTTAGTACTACTAACTTCTTATTTTTTTCTTTTATTTTTTGTTGGTTTTTTTTTAAATGGAAAGGAGAAAATACCAATTTGAAATTCTCCAGAATGGCCCATTTCTTTTTCATTTCAGTCCCTTAATTTCTGTATCACAATCACATTTTTCACTGTAAAACAAGCAAGCAAAAACAAAGGGAACAGCTTATAGAAACTGCCTAGCAAGCCAGAAGGGAGCCAACCACTGCAGACTGCTCACGCAGGCTTTAGTCGGCCTGACTGCAACGCCTGGATTGTTTGGAAACACTTAGCTGAGGCCCCATAGCTACTTTCTTCTTCAGCAGTGTCTTCACCATCAGTAGGTTTTTGAGGTTGTTTTTAATACAGTTTTTGTTAAGAGAAAGCACATTCTCAACAGTTAACCCCTTTACCCCTACTGTTTTTGGTGTGTGAGTGTGTGTATGCCTGTGTAACTTAGCCTGATGTGTGGGTCTGCACCACAGCTGGAGAAGTTGGTGATAGGACTTAGTTTGTATTGCATGGAGTAGAACAAAGCAAATCTAATCAGCTCTCATTGTACTAGGCGGTAATTCTCTCGTACCTTGTTTTAAGTACCTATTCTCCTCTGGAAGCAAGTGCCCCAGAATGGGGGTGAAGGCACTTGTGTGTTCCCTTCAACCTGCCAAGATTTACAGTGCTGAGTTCTCATGTTCTTTCTCTGTAAGAGCTGAGGCTGTTTCCCCCTTTCCTGCCATGTCGGGGCAAAGGGAGCATGTATTTGCAGCCAGGCATAATAACTCCTGTGTACTTTATCCATTCTGGGTCAAAATAATAATTGGAAAGGTGCATTGTAATGTAAGAATTGTTTTATTTATTGAAATGTCTGAGGATATCTCAAATACTGACCACAGCACCTGGGAATTACGCTTTGGGTCTTCTTTGAACACCTGTTACCCAGCTGTCCATTGTTTGATGTTAACACTGTTTACAGCACACATGCTTAGCAGAATAGCCAGCCAGCCCTGCGACACCACCCAGTAACTGCTCTTGAGGGAGTCTTGCTGTTCTCTATCAATGCACTACATGAGAGGACAATAAACTGTACCAGGACGTTGGCGTGAGCAGCAGGTCTGTGAGCAGGAAGCTGTAGCGAGGGCTGTGCTCTGCTGTACTGCGTATGCCTTTCTGCTTGCCCAGTGGCTGCTTTGCTTCTACTGCTTTTACAGCCGTGGGCAGGCCTACAGCTCCACTTGTGTTGGGGAGTGCCACCGTTTCCTCTTTAGGTTTTTGTTATGCATTATTTGGTGCTCTTTTTTTCTCCCCATTGTTGAGTTTCTGCAGTACCTGGCAGTAACAGTGGAGCTGGAGTTGCTCGGTGGCAGTTCCTCCCCCTTCCCCTCCTATCTGTTCATTGCCACGCATCACCTTAGGGTCACTCTCAAGCACAGAGGTGGGGTGAGAGCTGGAGGGCTGCTGCAGAGGCATGGTGAAAGCTGGTGCATTGCCCCAGCCAAGATCAATGTAAACAGCAGCGTGTTGCCCCTGTGGGAACCACGTTCTGCAGGCTCGCTGCTGAGGGCTCTGAGGGGCTATAGGCAGGCATGGTAGTCTCTTCCCAGCTGAGGCCAGGCTGCATGTTCACCTACCCCCATCAGAGCAGACTTTTTTTTTAAGCAAGAGCCTATCAGGTAGAAAAGAGCCATCAATGCTCAGCCACCTTCTGCTGGAAAATCAGTTGCATTCTTGCTGGTTTACTGCAGCGTGCAGTGGGGCAGCAGCAAACCCCTCTTGGTTCAGCTACCACATGCCCCCCAGGCAGTGCCAGTGATCTCTTCCTCCCCCTCCCAGCCCATCTGCTGCCCTTGCAGAAGCAGCAGTGCTCCATTTTGTAACCTGCAGTGACCAGACAGAAAGGTGCCATCTAGCATTTGTTTGATCTGCCTGACTGTTCCCTCGCACACTGTCCAAACCATGTTGCCTGGTAGTGCTCAGCATACTTAAATAAAGTCATTCATATACAACCCTCAAGCCTCCCAGCCTCATCTTCCCCCATTTGCATTTTTAACGAGGTAACTTGTGTTCTTCTCTTGCCTGTGCAGCATTGTTGCTGGCCAACCTGCAAGGAGACACCATCCCTGGTCCAGGATTGTGTCCCTGGCCTGGCTTCTGAGGTGAGGGAGGAGAATCCTGTGCACTGGTCTGCACTGCTGGTGTCCAAAGCTCCTCCTCTCCTCAGCAACCATTGCGTACTGTTTTTCACTGCAGACAGGTCAAGGGCAGCTGAGGTGTGGAGAAGCTGCAAGCGAGGGCTGGTGCGGGCAGCCCTGGCTGAGTGAGGGTGAGGGGGGCAATGCTGTTGTCATTGTGAGAAGAGCTGGTGCCAGCCCAGGCGCTTGCTGAGAACCAACATAGCAAGCTTTGCTCCCAGGGCAGGCCTGGGGACATGGGAAGGTGGTGCTGTGCCCAGGCCTGCAACTGTCCCCAGCTTGTCCCCAGAAGCTGCTGGTGAAGGAAGAGGACAGTCCACTCCCTGGGGCCTCCAGAGCAGCAGGGGCAAGTGCCTCACCTTCCCCCAAAAGGCAGGTGATAACACCAGCCCACCGACTCTCTTTGCCCCCTGCAGAAACAGGGGTGAGCCCCAGCACCCAGTTTTGCTGGAGAAGAGCAGTCCCATTTTCTCCCATATAACCACAGTTGTCCCCCTGCAGTACCATATGAACCCAGCCAGGTTAGGTCCACCTGCTAGGAAAAAAAAAAAAAATATCACTGAGCAATACAGAAAAGATCATCTTTAATTTATGAAATGAAGAATCATTCTCAAACTTGGTTAGAAGTCGCACAAATAACTTATGATTGAACCATCAAGAGCTACAGAACCCTTGTGGCAGGAACGTCTTGGTCCAAGACAGAAGGCAGCCATGTCCTGAGGCAAGATGGCAGGTTTGTGGGCTGAGACCCCGGAGGGACCCTGGCACTAAAAGATCAGCACAGCCCTAAGCACACAGCAGCCTTCAAACGCTGCCTGCACCCCCCTCCTCCTCCCACAGGCATGCAGAGGCAGAGCTCTGCTTGGCACATCTCTTCTGCCTGCCCACGGACACATCGCAGAGATTAAGACACTCCCTCACCTCGGGGGTCCATTTGGTGACTACCTGCCCTGTCTGCTCCTAGCCAGAACCAGGGAGACCAAACCACAAAGGTAAAATCTCAACCCTGTGACTGCCCAGCATGGTGTCAGACAGGCTCCTAAGAGGAATCGAAGGCACAAAAGCAAGACCTGGTGTCTCCTCCAGGCTGTGCTCTCCCTCTGCAAGAGGGGAAGGCGCCAGGCTGTCTCACTGGGTCACCGGGGACTGCCCTGGGCAGGGAGGCACTTCCACCGGCTCCCTTAGGGGTTGGTTCCCTGACCTCGGCCCCACAGCCCCAGCCAGCATGGGAGGGGGCTCACGGCACAGCTGTGTGACAGCACTGACTGCAAGGGGCTGTGGAGGGGAGAGAAGGGATAAACACAGGCAACAGGATGCCAGATGAGATGTTTCAGCTCAAGGCTCTGAGCCCAGTTCAAGCTCAGCACCTTTCCCAGCCCACTGCAAGGCCACAGAGGAGGGAGCCTCACCGTAAAACAAGCAGAGCTGGCAGACCCTGGCTGTGCGGGATATTGTCCTGGGAATAAGAAATGCCAAAGAGCGGATTTGGTCCAAGAACTGCAGCGCTGTATGTGGGAGGTGTTGTACCAACTACTGGGAAAGGCCTTCAGGGTCCTCTCATCCCTGCTCCTGCTGTCCTGCAATTGCCCCCTCAGTCACTTGGTCCCTCAGGAGCCTCCCACTCCACTTCCCAAAGCTGCAGGGCTCTGGCAAAGAAGGAGTCCCTGTGCGGTCCCCTCCTGCTCAGCCAGAGGCTGCAGTTCCCCAGGGCAGAGGACTGCACTGGGGATGTGTCTGTCTAGCACACACTGCAACCCAGCGCCTTCCCCCTGGCATGGGCAGCCCTCTGCTCCGTAGGACAGGCTAGGATAAAATGTTCTCGCTCCTGTGGCCAAGTCATCTATCCCAGGCCCCTCACATGCTGAACATCTCTGCCTTCCCCAGTGACCACCTCCTGGAATGAGTAAACATTGGCATTACAGCATTTCACAGTTGAACCGTAAACATCAGGGTTTCTCAGCCCACCATTCCTGCACTTAGCCTGCAGTCCTGCACTAGCCTGGAACCAGCAACACCCCAGGGGCTCAGGCACCCCTAGATCGTTTTGACCTCTGGTGCTCGGCCTTGCGTCAGGCTTTGGCGCTGAGCTTTCACCATCTGCAGACGCTTCCCATGCAAGCTGAACTGCGACCAGCTGAGGAGCTGCAGCACTGCGCACGAGATGGGTATGAAGACGAGGAGGTAAAAGCAGCCCTGGCGAAGAGTTGGCTCCAAAGCTGCGACAGACTCCAGCTTCGGCTGGGCACTCACCACATTGCTCAAGGGGTTGCGCTGGAAGATGTCGTAGCCTGGTGTCAGAAAATCATTTGTGAGACGGGACAGTGGGGATGGACCCTTGCCCATTCTCTCTGAGTGACTAGCCTTGGAGATGCAGAGACCAGGCACAGCTTAGCAACTAGAAGAACCCTCTGCACCCACCCAGGACACAGGACACGGTGGAGGACACTGCACTAACAGGTCTGCCCTCTCCTGCCCCGCTGCTTTCCCCAGGAGCGTCCTTACCTGTGTATGCACAGAGCAGCCAGGTGCCGATAAGGGGGGCAAAGGTCTGGCCTGGCTTGGTGACCAGAGCCACCATCCCAAAGAGAAGCGCTGAGGCTGCCTGCTTCCTACGGTTCAGGACTAGATCCTCATCCACCAAGTCAGTCACCACCAGGTTGAGCAACTTACAGGTCCCTTCTGTGAACACCCGGTTGCTGCAGAACAACAGGCAAAGCACTGAATAGGGGCATCAAGAAATGACGGGAGTAGGTGAGAGATCAGAGAAAATAGAGAGAGGGTGAGAAAGGTTCCCCCGCACTTAAAAGTAAGAATTTCAGAAGCCCTGGTTACACGAGGGGAACACTGCTAGCAGTAAGCCTTGTGTACCCTACAGCAACACCTTGGATCAGTCCTGACCTGCTACACAGACAGGCCTGGGGACAGGACATGCTGGGCCAGTGGCCAACAGGCAGCTGCAGCACACGCTGAGGGCTATCACCCCAGGCAGGCTGCAGAGGAGGAGAGGAGCTCAGCTCAGCAGCTAGGTGAGGCTGCTGCAGGCTGCCACTAGCTCTGCTGGATCTGCGTCCTCCTGAACATCGCTGCCTCCCTCACTCTGCTGCAGACACAGCCAGCAGATTTTGCAGTGACCAGCACCATGCTCAGGTGCTGTCAGAGCTGGGAGTCACATGACTTCTGTGGGACCCTGGCTACTGTTCCCGGTCTCCCACTCCTCTCCATAAAACAGAGACAAGTCATTTCCCTTCCTGTGTGGTAGAGGAAGCAAGTGCTGCCCACCTACCTGGCAATGAAGATGCAGAGCAGATACACCTGATCAGGTCCCGCCAGGAGCATGACAATGCTGAGAGCCAGCTTCAGGAAGAAGAGTCCTCGCACCACAGCGTAAACTCCACAGCGGCGGCAGAGGGACAGGAAGTAGAGGTTGTTGAGATGGGGGGCAATGTAGGAAACACCTGAGCAGAGACAGAGGCACAACAGCTTGAGGGAGTTTCAGTATCTACCATGCCCCCAGGACCAATACTGAGAGAGAACAAGGCTGGCTAGCACCAGCAGGGTTGTAGGACACAGTACAGAACAGCCCCCACGCACATACAGAAGGCTGCAGCAGATTTACTCAGTGGCTTTGTGGTACAGCACACACACTTACTACAGAGGGAGGCCTTCTTCCATCAACCTCATGGGCAGGAAAGAAGAAAAGACTTGCCAAGTGTCAAGCACGGGCTGGGACTCAGCCCTGGAGCAGAAATGAGACGGACAGGACAGCATGACCAGACCTGGCCCACACATAACCCTCCCAGGATAACTCTAGGACCACTGCCCACATATCTGTGGCAGCCTAGAAAAGGCCCATATGCCACAGAGAGAAAGGGATTAAATTCAGGGCTGTGTTCCCTGCTGCATCCTGGGGACACTATCTGCAGCCACTAATGCTCAGAGCAATACCTCTGTGAAGTCTAGGCCAGAGTCCAGCACATTGGGCTTGTCATCACTAGAAAAGGCTCCAAGTTATTTCTGTGCCCAGGAAGGACGACTCAGAGGTCCCAGGGAAGCATGTGGAGTGTGTGCATGTGTGACTCTTACAGCCCAGAGACCAGCACGTGAGGACACCTCTTCCCAGATGGAGTTTGGGAAGAGTGAATCCAGACTCAAGGCAGGTCCTAATCTAGCTGCTCCCTCCAGTCCCACCTGAGACTCACCAAGCAGGAAGGATCCAGTAGAGACAGAGATCTGGTCTGACAGCAGGTGCTCCAGGAACAGAGGGAAGAAGTTGCTGTTAAAGTGGCAGTGAAAAACCTGTGAAGGCAGCATGCAAACGAGCTGGTCAGCAAGAGCAGCAGTAAGAGAGAACAGAAAAAAGCAAACAGCCCTTTGGCCTCTGTTATCCTAGGAGCCCTGTGCTAAGGGATCATGCAGGGTGGGCCTGGAGTACTTCAGCAGAGCAAGAGCTCAGCTGTGGATTTTACAACACTGTAGGCTGAGACTGCAAAGCTGCAGTGCCACCAGCCATGCCCACTGCGTGCCTGGGGTCAGTACCACTTCCCAGCTGCCGAGGTATGGCTTGCAGGACACTTGCTCAGCACACAGCACTGCTGGGGCAGGCATGGCAAGGAGGTGACAGCAGTGACAAGGGTTTGGGGGAGGCAGTGGCACAGCAGAAGGGAGGAGGCAGCTCTCAGGAGGACAAGGATAAAGGCAGCATTGAGGCTTGAACACAAATATGCAGACCAGCATCAAGAGCCTGCCTGAGGGGAACCAAAGGATCCCCAGGGAGACAGGAGCTGTGACTGCAGCACACAAAGCTGGGCAGGCTGCCAGCATTTGGTAGTAATCACTGAAAAGGATGAAGAACAGAAATGGCAAGATCCAGCTGGACAGCGAGAACAGTGATGTGAGCCTCAGAAAACCAGAAAGGAGAAGGAGACCGTGCTGACAGCCACACCAGCAAACTGCACTCCTGAACTCATCCCCACCATGAGCCAGGCCTTGTGCTTCTGCACCCCAGATGGGCTGCACAGCACTCAGCCAGCCCCCGTAATCCAGCCTACACTGTGGAGAGAGGAAGGAGCACCCCACAGCTTGCTCAGGAAGTATCCCTGGGTCACAGGCAAGGAGAGTGGCTACCAGCTGCCAAATCAGCCAGCATGTGCAGGAGGCTCCAAGAGCAAGTGGGTGCTGGAAACACCTCTGCCCCTCTTGGCGAACTCACATACTGCTGAATCACCACCTCAAACAGCCAGAGCCAGTGTTCATCCTCTGAATCACAACATGCCACTGCTGCACCTACCTGGACAAGGTTCATGCAGACAAACCAAAGGAAGTTGCGATGCCGGGAGAGCTGCTGGAGATACTCTGCCAGGGTGATCCTTTTCTCCTGGGGGACAGAGAGTTTCTCAATGTACAGCCTAAAGGGAGAGAAGGAAAAAAACCAAACAACTGTAAATCCCTCACACCAAGCAGGGGAGAGCCCCCAGCTCTCCCTGTGTAGATGCAGAGCCATATCTCCTATCCCAACCGTCCCTCTCCCTAGACCAAATCAAAACAGTAGTCTACAACATTTGCTTAATGCTAGCAAGAACCACAAGCAACAGGTCTCCCAAAGAACCTTTGTTTCAGATTTCTGTCCATAAATGCATTCTCCTCCTACTAGCCATTCTACTACGCATACACTCCTCTTCCAGATCCCTGCGGTTAGCTCACCTGGCAGATCTCATCAGGATCTGCTGCATAACTACAGCATAACGCTGGCAGCTCATAACAAGGGATGACAAGTGAGACAGCCCAAGGAAAAGCAAGGGAGCTGAACATGGAAAACCAGCTGCATCGTGGCCTACCAACAGCCCAGCCACTATCAGGTAGCTAAAGCAAGCAAAAGGGTAAGAGACATTCGCTTGTCCAACTCCATCGGAAATGGGCAGCAAGGTGGTCTCATGCTCAAGCAGGAATACTTTCATGATAAGCTGCTTCTGACATTTTGCCACTCACAGGCCTCACTGGGTGCTCTAGATATTAACTCATGTCATGTTCCAAACACTGGATGGCCATACAGCAGGTCAGGGCTCTGCCTCCAGTTTGGGCCAGGGGTGTCACGAGATAGTTTTGTCCTATTTTCAGAGGGCCTTAGGAGCCAGTGTAACAGAGGTGATTCTGAAAACTGTATCAACAGACAAGAATCATAGATGATTAACAAAAGTTTGCCTTGTCTTGGATCTTTCCACACATTTAGTTTGCTGCAGTGCATAACAGAATGCTACAAATCTATGCCAGGCCTTTGTCCCTGCTGCAGAATTGGTGACACTTACTCTTTTAGGGTTGATTCTTGGTCCCATTTTGCTTTCCCATCAGTCTCAAACCGCTGGCGGAGCAGCTGTGTGGACAGAGTAAAACCAACGATGGAGCAGAGGGCCAGCACGACGCAAAATATGCGAAAGGAAAAGAAGTCCTCTTTGTTCCACACTGCATAGGACATGAAGACAGAGAGGGAGCCTATGGCACTGAAGAGGGAGCAGTAGAAGTTGAGGCTAGTCCTGTCTTTTGCTGAAACAGCCAGATCTGCGAGCAAGGCGTTGTGATGGAGGTCGACCATGGTGAGAAAGCTGTCATACATGCAAAGGCAAAGAAGGAACTGCAAACCAGGATGAGCCCAGGCAACCCAGAAAGCCAGGAAAGAGATGGCAAAGAGGGGGCCATTGTGGCTTAGTGCTCTGAGCCTCTTCAGAACTACTTCTGGGGAGGAAATCTCTGCTCCTGGCCTGCAACAGAAGACAAAAACTTTAGACACCTGGACAAAACCCTGCATGACCATGTATTCTCCCTCCCCAAGGAAACTGTGTAAGTGGAATAGACACAAATACAGCTTTTGCTTATGTAACAAGCACTCACATCAGATACCTTCTCAGCTAATTACTGAAAATACGGGTTTAAGAAGGCCAAAAAGCATGAAGGAAAGGGATTTTTTTTTCCTCCAGAGCAAGTCTCTTCCTGATAGCACTGCACTATCTGTGCTTTGCACAATATAAATTGTTTCAATGAGCACTTGAAGTTTTTACTAGTTGCAGGAAGCCACACCACAATTTTCATTACGAGCCTGATATAAACACATGAGAAATGCTAATGGCCAGTGATCCATGATCCAAGGAGTTTGGTCAGAGGCATTCCAGGTGGAAATAATTGTCCTTTTCCTCCTTGTGTCTCCCAAACCATGTACAGACATTCTCCAACACCCCACTAAGAGGCTTGCTCATATAGCAGGAGCTTGACATTTTAGACACCTGTATTTTAGGTTCTGTACCACTTGTGATTGTTAAAGGTTAGGGTCACATCTACCCGACAGATGTGTGACTTCCTCTATACAGCCAGGTACTAAAATAACATGCAAAGAGCACTGAACTTCAAAGATGCCAAGAAAAGGAGGTATTTAAGAGTTCCATGTCCCAGAAACCATTCCCACACCATCATTTTAAAGCTGCTAATTTCACATCATCTCTCCCAGAGACTAAACAACTTCCCAGACTCTGCTGGAAGTTGAGCTTAACTTACTGCTGTGTGCTGAGGAACACTCGGTCACTCAGCCAGCCAAACAGAGGGTCATTGAGGCTGTTCCAGATCAGAAACACTGTCTAGGAAAGAAAACAGTACAGTGAAACCAAAGGACAGCTCCTGCAAAGACACAGTTCTGTTATTGAAGCAGCGCTGAGCTGGCACAGTGAACAACCAGCAGGAACCATCCAGCGCACCTTCCCTGCCCCATCACCACTGTACAATTCCCCTGTCCAGGGCAACCGCCAGATTACACAGCGAGGCCAGTTTTGCCTGCTTGTGAAACACCCTGATGTCCCCAGCAGAAAGGCAGTCTTAACAACAAAGTCTTTGGGTTTTCTATCCCAGCTTGTTCTATCTTTATATAAGTGGGAAAAACTGAAAAGCCCAAGTTAGCACTCAGAAGGCTCCCTTGCTCCCTCTCCAAAGGGGAACACTGCTATTACAGCTAACATTCTTCACAGTTCTAGCAACGAGCAGTCTTGGTTTCAGAATTTCTTATTAAGAGGGCAGAAGCCTATGGAAAAGACTAACCTCTCCTATCCAAAAGGACAGTTTATCAATCTTGTAAACAGAGACAAAGGTGTCCACGTAGTACAGGAGGAATACATTGTGCAAAATGGAAACAAACAGCGACAGGGACCCGTAGATCACTGCAGTGGGCAAATGAAAAAGACAAGCCAACAGTCGCAACCCCATGTTGGTGCAGTCAGCGTTCAGCTCCCTCGATCACCTCCATTTCAAATGGGATGTCTTCTCCCAACACCTGCTATATTTTTCTTGGGGCCAATCCATTGTTGCTCCTGCAGGAGAGGGGCGGGGGGGGAAGAAAAAAAGAAACCAGGTTCAATTTCTTAAATGAACTAAAAGTTGAATCAAATTAATTGGTAAATCTTTGTCTGCAGAGATCAGAATTCATATTGCTTTGAGGAACTGTTCAAAAGTGGATTGGAGCGGATTTAACAGACTGAAAGCTGTCTGCTGCACTAAAGCTGTTTCATTAAGCTGAGGCCAGGCTGCGGGCTCCCGGGGTACAACTGTCTCCTCGTGAGCAGGCTGCCCTGTCCTTTACCCTGTAATGTTCTTTGTTATCCAGCAAGTAGCCGATTAGCTCTTTCCAGCTCTTTAAAGGCAAGGTCACAGGAGGAATCAAGCTAGATAGCTGCAAATAACAAAGCAGCCTTCAGAAAACACATGTAGTCACTGACATTTTTAGGTACCAGTGTAAATTTTTAGCCAAATAAAAATGACAACAGCTGTGATGTAATCTCACACACACACACTGCTTTCCTCAGGCAGTCACAGCTGACTGCACCTGGGCTGGCTCAGACAGGAGTTATTTATGGCAAGCAGTGTTGCTGCTTTGTGACATGAAGCGACACGACCAGAACATGATGGCATGCAGCAGACGTGCTGCCATCATGCGATAAAGGCAACCAGAAGTTGCTTAGCAGCTGTCCCACTCTTCTTAGAGTGGCCTGAATTTTAGGATCAGTGTCTGAAATAAAGATGCTTTGGCTGGATGGCAATATATATGGAAATAAAACAAGTGGAAACAGCAGCCTTATACCAGAACAAGTTGCTGTATGTTCACAAGGTGCTGAGGTGTGAGGGGAGGGCTCCTAACACCAGCACTGACTGGAGCTCACAGCCAGGAGGTGGGACCATGCTCAGGTTGCTACAGTCCAGAGGCAAAACACAAGGCACCTCTTCAGAGGCACTTGTGTATCTGGTGAGATGTTAAGGGTTCTTAAATCAGTGTAAGTCCGCTTCTCCAGCCTGTGCCATCATAAGAAGCCCTGTTGACAGCATATGCATGATGGGTGAGAAGGTCGCTATCTTAACACTGTCAAAAACAAGATAAAGGGCTGGAAGTCACTCCTGTTTCAGCCCTCCAGGGTCCGCACTCACCCAACTCAGGCGTGTTGTGGGAACTTCACAATGCAGGATAAGAAGGAGCACATCAGAAACAGGAAACTACGCACCAAGCCAGCCTTCTTGGGCTTGCAACATCAGCTGCAGCAAGTCCAAGCAGAAGATCAAGGGGAAGAATAAACGGCTGGGTATGAAACCAGATGAAATGCCAGTCCCATTCAGCATTTCCCAGAAGCCATGAGTCTGACCACTTCTAGGCAAGATTAGAAAAGCAAAAATAACCATCCGCTCTGCCTAGCCCAAGGAATTCCTCATAACTAGTTCAGAAAGAGCAGGAACAGCATTTGTTCCAATCAATTACATCACTAGATTGAAACTGCACATCGGCTCCACTCCCAGCCAAAGCGCTAGACCTCAACTGGATCCAACTGCAGAGCCCTTGTGGAGCTGAGCCACCATTCTGCATCCCTGCCATGCCAAAACCCACAGCCAGATAAAAGGAAGACACTGCTTGGAGGGGAATTCAGCCAGACAATGAACTTTTATAGGTGTAATTAAAGACAGACAAGCCTCAAGGGGAAATTGCATTTTGTATGGTCATGAATTGAAAAGGAATCAAGAATTTGTGATGTGTAAAGATAAAGGTTAAGAAGAAGGGAGAGCTAAGCCAACTGACCCACGCACCGATGAGTCCTCTGTCTCTCACCAAGAGCCTTCTGTGGAAGACTGGCTCAAGGGCAGATGAAGCCACCGGAGTGCTGGGCACCCTCATGAATGGGATGGAGAACAAGCAGACAGCATCATTTTGCACTGTATGAAACACCAGTGTATACAGACCTTGACCACTGCATGCACATCTAACCTCACTACAAACTTCCTGAGACACAGAGATGAGGGAGATCAAAGAAGGGCAACTAAAGCAATCAAGGCACTGAAGCAGCTGCCTGCTGAGGAAAGACTAAACAGCTGGGACTCTTCAGGCAGACAGGAAAGGCTGAAGGGGAACACGATCAAGGTTTACAGTCCCATGCACAGTGGATAAGGTGAAGGTGAAACTGTTGTGTGCCAGGACACAAGAATCAGGAGCGCTCACTGTAATAGCAGGGAATCGGTTTAAAGCACATGAAAATATTTCTTTACCTGGCACGTAGCAGACACCTGACACTTTCTGCCAAAGGAGGTTGCCAATGTGGGCAGCAGGTTCAAAGGATTAGACAAATTCATGGAAAACAGCTGTACACAAACAGCTACTAAAGGGAACAGGCAGGGAAATCCCCTCTAGCATCCCTAATCCAAAGGCTATGCAAGCTGGGGGTGGACAAGTAGAAAGGCTGCTGACAGTGGCCAGGCTCACATGCTCTACCCCTAAATAACATCTCCTGCTGCCACTGCGGGGCAGAATATGGGGCAACACAGACCAACAGTCTGACACACTAGGGCAATTCTTAACCTGGACTTGACTTTGCTATACAAAGCCTGTTTGAAAGCAAAGCCCGCTCTAGGCTTGGACTTTAGCACTGTGCTTTACACGTGTACCCATCCAAATGATGCTTCACTAAGCACATCTTGCACAAACCGCAGCTGCTGAAGTTTCCAGAGACACCTCATTTCGTCAGTTATATGCTACAGCACTGTTTAAAGAAGGTGACGTTCCACTTCCTCTCCTTCTTCTCCCTCGTCTCTCCCTCACAGATGTGCAGCCTCCCCAGGCAGCTGACATTTGTAAGTGATTTCACTTTGTTAGGATAGTTGTTAGGTATTTTTATATATACTTTTTCCCTCCCCATCTGCAGATGAAAAGAAACAAATCATAATTGTCTGTAAAAAGTAGATTTTGCTTCTACATCCAAAGTACTGCATTATTTAAGCTTGCCACACTGGTATTTTCATAACCTTTTCCTTGGGATGGAGAATTACTCATGGAGTATGTAAAAACTTTTCAACATTCGACTTCAAGTAGTAATGGGAAAAGGAGCTGCAGGAGGGAATAGCTATCATTCATTCACGCTGAACTTCTAACGCACAGTCATAAAGCAACAAGCTCATAAATTAGAAAGCAACTAGCCTTTATTTCAGAAGCTTCCACCTCTGCATCTGACATCTGGCATCGCTCCTGCCAGTGACGTTTACAGATCTTATCTTTTTGAGAAGGATGTTTGAGTACTGGCTACCAGGAAAGCATTGCTTTTGTTTGAGAGTGCTAGCATACAGCAGCTGGAAACACAACACAGTTTAGGCCTCGCACATCTGCTCTAACTTCCTAGCCAGCTCACAGCTGGATTCACAAGTCATTGTGTCCCATGGCGATTCAGCAACCCTGTGGCCTTACAACAAGACTGAACACCAGCCTTCCACAGCTGAAGTCAGTTGTACTGAGTTGGCAGCAGAGCCTTATATGTGAAACTTGGCCCAAGCCAGTCTTTTAAGCAAGACCAGATGAGTCCTATATGCTGAAGTTGCCACTCAGGAGCCTGAAATAGTCATCTGCAGACCTGACCGCAGTAACAGGATGACTCTCCCATTCATTCTCCACTATGTGGGTAATGCAGGCTGGAATATCCCAAATAATACTTCAGGATATGTCTGTGCTTGCTCCAGCCATCACTACACTGCCTCTGCTGCATATTCTGGATTCTGGGTGGCTTATTAGCTAAAGCAGAGGGCCAGGCAAATATACCAGCCTGGTGTCTCTGCATCCGCTACCCAATAAATCCACCAGCTGGATAAGACACTCAAAAGGCAACCCTATTTCTAGACATTCATCATATCTAGACAGGACTGGGCTGCTGGTGGTCCAGCCTCATCCACAGGGAGGCCAGGCTGGAGCTGCGCCTGTGAAAGAGCTGCTGCTCTGTGACCCGTCCCAGCACAGCACCTGGTGCTGGGCATGCCAATTCCTCCCAGACCCTGTAAGTGACATTCCCAGCCAGAGGAAACGGTCATGGATGTCGTCTTCTGGTCAGGCTTATCTGTCAGTGACAAGTCTGTTTTGTTAGCACAGACCAGCTTCTGCACGCTCCTTCCCACCCCACACATGGTACCCCAGGAGGCCTCCAAAGCACAGACACCTCAGTGGGTCCTCACCCCATGGAGCTACGTAGATTCTGGCAGGACTCTGTTCAGTAAGAAGGAAAATCCCTCTACAGAGCTATTTCACTAACTTAATTATACTGAAAGAGCCTCCACTTAAACAAAAAAAAGTCTCAAAATCCTATTCCTATCCCAGGAAAGCTCCTATCCAGTCACACACTCCACAAAATTTAGGCTCCTCTGACCAAACTTTGATCACATGCACCCTCTGAGAGGTGAATATCTCTCCAAGACTCTCAGTTGCTCCATTGTACTACTTCTGAAGTCCTAACACCATCTTTCCTCAGATAATCCACTTGCTAACAGAGAGTCTCAAGGGAACACTAAACACAGTCCTATGTGAAACATTAACCAACTCCCCAACAACAGATTACCAGCAGCCTGGTATCTGAACAGTAAAGCAATGAAGCCTTTGAAAACCTGATACCACCTGGGTCAGGCAAGGAAACGTGCCACTTCGAAGAGGCTACGAGGGTGTTTCCCAGTACTGTTTACTAATTCAACAATCACAGATGCCTCCATATCATCAGATGTTTGGTAACACCCTTCTTATTATGCGCAGTCACATGCTTCCATCAGGTGCTGCCGTCACTCCTGCAGAGTTTACACACGTAAACAGAACTGCCACACAGATGACAATTAACATCTTG